GGGCGGGGGGGGGGGGGGAGACTAAAGTTAAATATAAAGACCAAACTGATGACAACAGGTACAACAACCAGCCTTAGAATTAAGAATGAAGTTACTGAAGTGGTGGATAGCTTCTGCCTGCTGGTGGATAGTGAAGAAATACACTCCTTGGGAAAAAGATGGTGATATGGGAAAATTGGATGAAAGCGGGGATATTGACTTAGGACCAACTGATGCATGATGAAGATGAATGTTTATATGCTGTGTTAAGATACCAGTATCATCTATCAGTGTAACCCAATGGCAATATTTACAGCTACAACATTTGTTAACAACATTGTTTGGACCAGCAACATTTTCTTTTGAGACATCTGAGATACTAACTAGAACAACTTGTTACATCTTTTAAAACTAACCCCCCCCCCACTATTAGTTTTTATAGATATTTGTTATCAATATATCAGTGTAATATGCAGATGCTAAGAAATGAGTGGAATAAAGAATTAGAGGTTCCTATACTGCCTAAACAATGGGAGAGTGTTTTAACTTCTACAGCAATAGTGTCAATGGACCCTAACTATGACTTATACAACAAAAAATAATATTTAGAATTTATTGGACTGTACTACATTTGTATAGAAAAGGACTAAGACAGTATTTTGTTGGAGATGTAATAAGGATAATGCTTCTTTAAAACATGTTTTTACAATGTCCTATACTTACTAAGTTTTGGGAGAAAGTATGGGACTATATAAATGTGACTGAGTGACAAAAGTTAAAATTTTCAGAGGATAACATTCTCTTGAACTACCTCCCTAGTACATGGAATTTGACAACTGGACACCATAAATGGATTCTCTGTGCCCTTACTATGGCCAAAAGACTGATATAGCAGCGTTGGAAAGATAAATGTACGGCCCCATTCACTCAATGGATTGAAGACCTGATTACACTTGCTACTTATGAGCGGATTGCTTATAGACGTAGACTTGATATGGACAAGGATAATGAAATAAGGGACTCATTTATACAAAATACAGTAGGTTAAAAGAATGATAGTTATATAAATGTATTAGAAATTAATATATATGCCCTTGAATAATAGTTACATTAAATGAGTATATATAGAATTGTAACTGTTAATTGTTATAATGATATACTTTGTTCCTTTCTTTTTTCTGTTATATTTTTTTCACTATTTTAAAGCACTTTTTTATGCTTTGTTTTTTTTTCTTTGTGAATGTATATATTTGCATTATAATTACCTTTGTGTTTTGTGTTTTGTTTTTTATTTTTATTTTTCTGTTATTATTTAAAAGCAATAAAAATAAATAAAAAGTCAAGAAATACACTACAGACTAGCACTTGCTAAGGTAGCAATGAAGGCCTTGGAAAAGATGTTTAGATGTGTTATGGTGTATCTATACCAGCAAAGACCAGAACTATGCAGGCAACGGTTTTCCTATGATATTCTATTGAAGTGAAAGTTGGACTTTAATAGGATAGAAAGGATAGAAAAAATATTGATGTTGTTGAACTTTGGTGTTAGAAAAGACTCCTGAGAACACCAGGAAAAGACCCCTAAGAATACTATGGATAGCCAAGAAAAGAAACAAATCAACCATAGAACCAAATGACCAGTCTCACATTATCATATTTTGAACACATTATATGCAGACCTAGCTCTCTTGAGAAGTCTATAATGCTGAGAGGTAGAAGGAAAGGAAAAAAAAAGAGGATGACCAGCAGCAAGATGGATGGACTCAATTACAGAGGCAATGGATGCACTGTTGGAAGACCTGAAGGACCATGTTGGGGAAAGATCATCCTGGAGAAAATCTATCTAGGGATTGCTAAGAGTCAACACCTACCTGATGGTACATCATCATCAATCACTTTATTTTTTTTAAATTAATGTAAATACAATTAATTAAAATCATATTAAATTTAACTTTTGTCTTTATCCTGTCTATCCACATTTTGAACTTCAGCTTTTGACATACTAATCAAGTATGATTCTCAGCCTGAAAAGATATGGCTGGAATATGATTTCTAAGGGAGAAAATCCTGCCATCTGCTACTTACCAATTCAGCAAGAGGGTGTTTCATTTCTTTCTCATACTGGGATTGGCTCCCTCTCCCTTTGCAGACTTTCCCAAAAGAGCAAATGCTACCCAAGAGGACCTTGTGCTTGAAGTCAGAGGAGGATGCACCCCCCTCCTGCTGACTTCATCCACGAGAACTCTTTCACTAGCAATAGGCAGGAGCCCAGCCACTTAATTCTGAGGACCCTTCAGAGTGATGTGTAGAGGGCAGTTGGGGTGACAAATGACCGCACAAGAACCCTATATCTTAGACCCAATGAAGCCACTGCTCCAAGAGACAAGCAGCAGTTATGTGAATGGGGTTTGGGCCAATCTGCTGTTGCCCAAAGCAGCCTTCAGAAAGGTTCATTCTGTTGCTGCTTTGTCCCCGGTCACCAGAGGAGAACTCTTTTATATTGGCCACATCAGTGTAGGGTGTTTTAACCTGCTCCTTTAAGCAAGATCTACAGTACCTGGTTTCTTCAGAAGCTCTTTAAAAGCCTCATTTTACTGTTGCTGTGAACTAGGAAAAGAGTTGGTAACGTCATTTGCTCTATGTTAACTATTTGATTGCTAGTTACATTTATGTTATTACAAGTTATGTTAACAAGTTATTACAGATTTCCTTTGATCTTTTTCCTCAGTGAAATGTGAGGAGCTGAACTTGGGGCCCCCTGGATCGTTAGCTTTCTTAATCACTGTGTACATTCCTAGGAAAGTTTGTATTTGCAGTTTGCCAAAATCAGAATAATAAAAAAAGATCAGCTGGCCATCTTAAACCTTTAAATCGCAATTCTATATATACTTATCTAAACCGGTCTGAACTTTACATTCTCCCTGTATATCCAAACTGGTTTTTTCCCCAAACATCCTGAACCATTGGGAAAATTTCCTGATATAATTACAGATATTTATTTCCATTCAAGCTGAGAGGAAGTTGGCTGGCAGCTGCTTATAAATAAATGCAGTTGTTAAATCAAAACCACAGACAAATATAAATTACTCATTTTACATCTTAACCAAATTGCTAAAAATCAGCCAGTGCTGCTGCAGTGTTGTGGCTTGATTTGCAAAATCATGGCAATGCCAGAGATCAGGATGTTTTCCAGGGACGTTACAGGGAGCCCTGTTTGTGATGCACATTTGCTGGTGCAACTGCTGATACGATTGTGCTGACCCCTTTGAATTTCAGCTGACATTACTGTTAGTCATTTCTGGGATTGGCTGTGGGAGAATAACTTTGTCCCACTTTATGTTCTTCTTTTTTTCAACCAGAAAGCTTAGGCCTGGCTCCAACCCCAGTTGGCTCCTTAATTAAACTTTCTGACCAGCCTGTGTGGGTGTTGGGTCAATTCAGAGATTTCAATTGCTGCTTAAATAATTCAGCTGATTCACATATCTGAAAATCATGTAGTGTATAAATCCATTTTTAAAAACTAATATATTAATTTTAACTTCTAAGATATCAAGCTTCCTCATTTACTCTGGACCATAGCACAAACATGCCACAGTCACTGCTTTTTTCTGCCATGTTCTCATGAGATTGCCTTCTTCTCATCCCCAGCTCATACTGAGGATTAAGGTTAAAGTCTTCCTAAGCTGTTCCGTGTTTAAAATAGTGTTTTTCCTCTTCTCCTGAATCTGAATACAATCTGGCATGCTTCCTGGACCAGTAACTTGCTGTCCACCAGCTATTTCCAGGTGCCACTGGCAACAAAGACTTAAGTGGATTTCTTGGTCACTGGCTGCCAGCACTGCAGTTCCATGGCAGCACTAGCAAATGATGGGGCTCATTGGATCACTCTTTCCTATTTTGCCCTGCTCTTCCCTCTATTTGCCTTTTCTGTTAGCTGCTATTTGTGAACATGATAGCTATGTTCAGAAATAGCCCAACTGGCAGGTTATAGGTATACAGATAGGATTGTGAGCAGCATCAAGAGAGCTTCCTCCTGCTTCAGCCCATGCTTCCCTTAGCATCTGTCTTCTGCTAGTCAGGCAATTTGACTTGTCCAACACTGCCCCATCCTGCATTAAGGAAAATGAATGGTGGCTAGGTGTCCCAGTAGCAGGCAATGCGTGGTGGGAGGGGAAATGAAGCTGTGGGAATCCACCAATCCCTTTCCTTAACTTACCCCCCAGTAAAGGTGTAAACATTCAGCAGCCTCTTTCCAGTGGCAAAATAGGGATCACCAATGGGGGCAGCACAATTCATGCTGGCATATGTTTCTGCTGGCCCAACGACTTGTGGATAGCATTGTAATGTGGATGTCAGAAAATGTCATTGATTTTCCCATCCTGCTGCTCTCTAGATTTGTTGAACTTTAATGTCCAGCCAGCATATTGTACTTCAATATGCTGGCTGGATTGTCTGGATTGTAGATCTATACGGTATACCATTATATCTTTTTATTTAAGATGCTGTACTTGAGGAATCATCAACTTAGTAACTACTAAATCAGCCAAATGCCAGAGAAGACAGCATCTGTCCACCTTTAAGAGGGAATTCCTGCAGGTGTAGCTTGTCACCTCCAGGTTGGATGTATGCACTGTCCTTAGCCATGGGATGCTTAATAATGGTTGAATAAACCGTAATTGATAGAGCCAATCTGGTGTAGTGCTAGAAACTGGGAGACCATGAGTTCTAGTCCTGCCTTAGGCACAAAGCCTGCTGGGTGACCTTGGGCCACTTGCTCTCTCAGCCCCAGGAAGGAGGCAAGAGCAAACCAGTTCCAAAAAACCTTGCCAAGAAAACTGCAGGGACTAGTCCAGGCAGTTGCCAGGAGTCAACACTGACTTGAAGGAACAACTATTGTAGCTCTTTCACAAGATACTTAAAAAATGACGACTGCGTATGTATTCTCTTTCGATTTGGGTGACCTTGGGCCACTTGCTCTCTCAGCCCCAGGAAGGAGGCAAGAGCAAACCAGTTCCAAAAAACCTTGCCAAGAAAACTGCAGGGACTAGTCCAGGCAGTTGCCAGGAGTCAACACTGACTTGAAGGAACAACGACAACAACAATAGACTGGGCTTGTATAATACTAAGCATAAATCATAATTTGCAAGCCACTGTGCTTGGATTCAAACAATGTCCTAAGCTCTAACCACACAGGTTTTGGTGCAATTAAGCCTTTGTAACTCCAGCAGGATTTAAATGGGCATAAAGGGGCACTAGTTGCCTTTATCTATAAGGAATCATCTATCAGAAAATATAATAGAAATTAAGATGTGTTTAAACTGAATTATACTCCCTGTTTAGTTTTAGGGGCAAGGGATGTTCTTGTCACCAGATTTTTTTTCCTTCTTTCCTTTTTTGTGTGCTACATTCTAAATTGCTGAGAATTACTTATTGATTATTGTAGCTCTTTCACAAGATACTTAAAAAATGACGACTGCGTATGTATTCTCTTTCGATTCTTGATGCCATGGAGATTGACAAACCATTGCACCTTCTTTCTCAGGAGCTGTGTGGAATGTTATCTAGCTTCTGCTGATCAACTGCATCAGGAAGACTGCACTGAAAAATGTAAATTGGTTGACACAAGGATCAGGCATGAGGAAGGTCTGTACTTTATTGCTTGGCCATTATTAGTTGTGGCAATAGGTTTACTAGGTCTTGCTGCTTGCATGGTGTGTGTGTGTATGTATACATACACACACACATATAGACATACATACATGTGCATGCACACACACACAGAGGATCTTACGATTTTAATTGTCCCTCTTGGCACATTTTTTTTTAGTAGCATTAGGCTGAAGCTGCTCAGGTTCAGGGCTTCAATTTTGCATTTGCTTGTTTGTTTGCTGATGTTTTTCTGTGATTTAACTGTAATTTGTCACAATGAAAGTGAGGATGTGATGGCCATATTGCTGTCTTCTCTTCAGTCTGTGTACAGAAGCTGGCAGGACTGACGGCTGAGGTTTCTTTTTCATTAACCGTTGACAGGATAAGGTAGCATCCTCCACACCTGAGGGAAGAGGGTAGGATCAGGTATCCCAGGATGGACTGCATATCAAATACAGTTGAACAGCTGAAAAGACAGTAAGAATCAGCCACTCTCTTACCTGATACTTTTGCATGAAGTGGTTGGCTCACCCTCCCTAATGATCAGTCTGGTCCTGTGTTTTTCCTATCTCTGTGCCACAAACATCCTTGGCTGTGAAGCTGGACTACTATTAAAGGCAGAAGTACATACACAGTATAAGAAAATAAATAATACAAATTAAAAATCTGCAGAATGAAATCAGAATACAGGACAACAGCAGCTGAAAGATTTTACAAAGCAATACATGTCTGTTTAAAAGATTTTAGGAGCTTAGAGGAATAAAAGAGATCTCAAAAGTTATCTCTGGTGTCAGTGTTACATGTGTAGCAAGAGATTCCCAAGCAGGAATGCAGAGGATGTAAACCAGGAATAGACATTAACTAGTGAGTGTGGGAAAAGAAAAGTCAGCTTGTTGTTACACAGAGGGAAATGTGGGAAAAGAGGGCATAGATTTTGAATTCAGGGAAGATATAAGTATGGGAATCAGCCTTAATAGTCTGAGACTGTCAGCTGCTTCCACTCACTACCGTTCTTGTGTGATAATAAAAGATCCAGTCCAACCCTGTTGAGTTTCTGGGAAGCTTCAGCTAAGTCTGTCTCCCCCTTTGGGGAACTGGACATTGAGGCCTTGTATAGGAAAAGGTAAGCCACCCTATTTCTCTGACTACACAGATTGAAAGATCTTCTTGGTTCCAATCCACATGACAGATGCTTTTTTAAAAATGTAATTTACTCTGGTGCCGGTAGCCAAAGCAGCCAGCTGTTCGGTAAATTTTAACCCAAACACACTGAGGCTACTGTATTTTATTGTGTGAAAAAAGGTTCCAGTATTCTGTTCAGCATTGGTTTCACTTAAGTTATCCAGTGATAGCCTCTTTAAAAATGATACTGCATGGTACCTGAAATAGTTGGATATACGAAGATGTGTTTTATAATATGTGACCTCCAAATTAGATGTTTGTCCACTCTCTTCAGAATTAATCTCTCACAATTTAGGAGGCATTTCAAATTATGCAAGGTAAATTTACCACTTGTATTAATATCAGTGATGTCAGTAGGAATTCCCACTGAGAATTCCTACTAACCCTTAAGGTGCTGATCAAGAAATTGAGTACTCTAAATGGTGAGAAAAAAGGAGAACTTTTATCTGCTGCAATGAGGTCATCTGTAAGCAGAATGTAGTAGTTGAACTTGAGCAAGGCTACCAACACTCTGCAGACATGAGCTCACTTTTAAGTCAGACAGATAACGTGAAACACCCAAATCACTACCTGCACCTTGAAACTGATTGCCACAAATTGCTAAGCATGGCAAAGCATAATTTCACAAATGGAGACAACCAGAAATGTGTACGTTCTGTTTTAACTATTATGTATAAGTGAATGTGCTGGTATGTAGATGTCTAAGTATGTTGGGTGTGACAAAAAAATACTATTTTTAGAGCCTGAGAATATTTGGGGAAAGGAAAGCTGCTCAATGTAAAATAACCCTCTACTAGGACTTGTTTACATGTTTACATGACCTGCATTTCTTCTTACTTAACTTTTAAAGGATATTATACACAACTATTTAATTGGATCAGCCTAAATTATAAATACAAAGAACTAGTGGGAAGAAAACAGGTACAAGATAGTATGACATTGCTAAAGCAATGAAGGAAAGTCTTGTGTGTTTTTTTTAAGTTACTTTTTTAAAAATGGTTTTCCTTCTGGTGTTAGAAAACATCTGTGGGCTTTTTGTTTCACAAGACTAACACAGCTACCTCTCTAGAAAACGGGGGCAGGGGGGAGCTTTTAGAATGGCTTAGAAAAAGTCCCTTTTCCCTAGAGAAATGCTGTTTCCAAGAAAACACTGGGCAAATGTCTATATCCTATTCACTTCTCCAAAAACACATCCTGCTGCTTTTAAACTTTGAGAAAACGTCTGTAGGGTTGATAACTCTGGTGAAAGCTTATTCAGACAAAATGTATAATGCAGACAGGCAATGGGAACAATGCCATATATCATAAAAATACAGATAAGCTATTGTATAATGTGCAACTTGCAAACCACTTTATTTAGAATGTCTCCCAGTAGAATCCTTTCTCTAATGTGGCTGTAAATTTCAGAGGAACTTCGGCAACAATTACTATTATTTTTGTGATTTGCTGATAAGACATGGAGCCTCTGGTATTACTGGCCTAGGGGGTCTCCATTTTCAGATTCCATTCTTATATCTTCATGTTGTCTGTTCCCTCATGCATATTCCACCTCTTTTAAGCCTCTTGAATAAACATCAAAAGGACTCTGCCTGAGGAAATTTAGGTGAAAGCATTGTTTGCCGAACTGGGAATATTTTATAGTTCTTTTATCTGTATTACCTTGAACTGAATTCTTTTATCCTATCATGATTTCTGTTTAGTCATTAGGCATGTGTAGATGATACTATTTTTTTATAGCAAGATTCTGTCAGCAATAAATGGTAGTCCTCCTGAAAAAGATTAGTATCTTTATGATACAGGAATATCCTACACATTGCAACACCATGTAGGCATTCTACCAGTAGCAAAAAGACAAAGAGAAACATGTTTACTCTAATCAAGACTACTGTATTCCCCTAATAGCTATTGCAGCTGTCTTAGAAGTATTTCCAATTCAATGAATTTCCCATTCTGGCAAACCTGATGGGTGCACTTGATGGTCAGCACTGAGTGACAACACCTGGACCTTCTCTTCTGAAACCTCAGTGCAAAGAGTAACAAAAAACAAAGAAGCCCCTTTCAGTAGTAGAACAATTATCTGCAAGTCCTTTAATGTATTTCCAGCTTTGTTCCTTAGTGCCTGTTAAAATTAACCTGTTAGAAATGGTTTAATCTTCATAATAACTGCTTGATGAGTTTGTCTCTGACCTGTAAAATGGGTTTTTCCCCATTCTCAGATATTGTGGAAGATAAATGGGTTCCTTGTGTGTTACGAGGGAAAAATGAATGCATTATCACATTTCTGATGGCAGCTGATAAAGAGGGAAAAGCCATCATTCACAACATAAAGCAGAAAGGTAAAGCATTTGGTCTTGGTAAGCTAAGGACTTGTGGTGTACCTGAATCTATATTCTGCTAACATATCCATTTCTACAGAGGGCTGTCTGGAAGTACTGGTTTAAGAGTCTCAGAAATGCCAGTAGAATGGCACTTATTGAAAAGGATTTTCCCATCTACTTGTTTCCTGAAAGTTTTTCTACAGAAAATTAAGGGACTGTCCTGGGAAGTATGAGAGGCATTGACATGGAGGAATGCCTAAGGGGGAGGGAATTGGCCCCAATCAGGCAAGAGGGGAGTGGGCAACCTCCCCTTTCCACTGCAAGTTTCTGTCCCCTGGTTTCACTTCATACTTCAAGAGGGTTTTGGTGCATAAAGTTCAAGAATGATGAGCAACCTTTCTACCAGCATTTTTCTGCATATGGCTCCCAGATTCTAAGCCAAAATATTTTACTGAAATGAAGTGCAAGAGGCAGCTTGCCTCCTAAAGCATTCTTTCCATGTGGCCATTCATGAATACGGAAAAAGTGAAGGAGATTATGAACATGGTAGCCAATGTTGAACTATTGTTTGTTCAATCTTTCATTTGTTCTAGATCTCCCAAAGGCTGACCCACTTATTTTTTGTGTGTGAGTGGTTCACATATAACTCATCCATCCCTACATGAATGAGGCAATTATCATACATACCAATGCTGAGTGTGTACAGATGAACACACTGGGATTTCAGCCATCTTTAAATAAAACCTGTACAAAGCTGAATAGTTCACAGCAACCTTTTCTAATCTGATGCCCTCCAAATTTTGCCTTCCAATATTTCCAGAATTCTAATAGTTATAGGTGAAAGTAACAGTACCCTGTTGTGTATACATTTCTTCCTTTTTTCCCCAGACTAATAGCTATTTCTGTAACGATTTTCACTATTTACCCTTTGTTTCTACAGATTGTCCACAACCTCCAAATATTACAATGATTGTGTTGGGTGTTTCTATTGCAATAGTCCTCACTGGGATTGTCTTACTTTGCATGTGGAAACTGTTTATTTCATTTGAAGACCGTAAAGAAGTTGCTAAATTTGAAGCAGAAAGGTCAAAGGCCAAATGGCAAACGGTATGTAAAAAAAAAAAGATTCAGGGAAACATTTGCAAGATGAAAACTACTACCATAGTAGAGCCAGTGTGGTGTAGTGGTGAAGGTAGTGGACAAGAAACCAAGAGGCTGTGAGTTATAATCCCCCCCTTAGGCATGAAAGCCACTTGGGCAAGTTTCTCTCTCAGCCCAACCCACCTCACAGGGTTGTTGAGGGGAAAATAGGAGGCAGGAGTACTAAATTAAGTACAGTATGTTCGCTGTCTTGAGTTGACCAAAAATATATAGAAGGATAAAAATCTAATAATAGTGCCAAAAATGTTGAATGTTCTCCACAGGAAGCCACATATTTATTAAGCCATGGTTCACCTTTATGATTACGATTTAAGAGAAAGTACAATTACTGCTGAACATGTTGATCACAAAAAAACAAAACCAGAAACCTTAAGCAGGGCTGACCTAGTTAGTACTTGAATGGGAGATTACCAAGTAATCCCAGGCCTGTAAGCTAGACTGGGAAACTCAGAAAACATCATAAAAAAAGGAAATGGCAAACCACTCCCATATTGTTGGCAAGAAAACTACATGGGTGTCTCTATGTAACCACCAGGAAAGTTTCATCTTAAGGAACTTCAAAGTTATTAAAAAATGCCCTAGGAGGGGAAGAAAAGCAGCCCTCTGAATAGATAACTTGTGTATTTTTAACCAGTTTACTGGTGAACTGTTGAAATGGTGGACCTTTCTCTCTGCACCCCAAAACCTCAGAGGACAGAGAAAGCCATTTCCCCGAGGAAGAGAAATTGGGAGCTTCTCCTCCTCCTCTTCTTCCTTCTCCTCCTCCCCACAGATTGAAGCTTCATCTATGGGGTTCAGCACTGCCAGGAAGCCTTGGGGAGATTCATTGTGGGGCTGCTGGCCACTTTCCCCCCACTTCCTTTCCTCTCCAGGAGAAGGGAAAGGGGAATGGGTCTCTTTTCTCTGCCCACCTCTCTTGCCTAAATAGCAGAAGAGAAAGGGGAAAGAAAAGCAGGGGAGCATGGCTCCTTGGCTGCAATGGGTCTCGCACCAAAGGAAGCATTCCCTGCCCCACCTCTTTCTCCCCCCTGGGTTCTTTATGTGGACAGAATCTCTACTGTGCTTTGTGGCCGACAAGGGGTGACCAGGGATTGGAAACACAATTCACTGTGGAGCTTCCTGCCAGCTCCTGTGCTGAATAGCAGCATTTTAATGCTGCCATGAAGAAGAGCCCTTAGTAGCCAGTAGCCATTGATAGGACCAGTCCTCCATGAATTTATGTAATCCAAGATACTGGCCATCGCCATGTTTTTTGGTACTAAATTCCAAAGTGTGATTATGTACTGTGCAAAGAAGAACTTCCTTTATCTATTCTAAATCTCTTCCCTATCTCCTGTAATCACTGGCTGCTGATCCTATTGTTACAACAAAAGGAGAAAAACATCCTTGTCCACTTTCTCTACGCCACGCATGATTTTATAAACCTTGATCCTGTTCTCCCTCAGTCAACTTTTTTCCAAGTCTACAAGTCCCAGGTGATACAATGTTCTCACCAGCTGCCTCCAGCTGGATAGATGTGAGAATGCACTTTAATCATTCCCAAGAAACTGAATTTCCCCCAAACTGAACTCCCAATACATCTCTGTTATGTCTACCTCATGCTTCACAACCATGCAAGATGGCCTGATATACAGGTAGTCCCCAGTTTAAGAACAAGTTCCATTCCCAAAGTCTGTCCTTAAGTTGAATTTGTATGTAAGCTGCAACAGTATTATTGTATACTACTGTATAAGTAGTATTGGGTAATTAACTTGAACCATTGTATATTTAACTTGAAACATTGTGTATTTTCCTCACGTTTTGCTACAATAGGCTCCGTTCTTAACTATGGATTGTCTGTAACCTGGGCGTTCTTAACCCGGGGACTACCTGTACTGTAAGTGATCAAATTGCCCCATGCATGGCAAATGTCAGTAACATTACAGGAATCCAAGCATGACGTAGCTCATTTCTATAAATGAGTATTTATTTTGGATGTACAATTTAAAAATTTTATTTTGATTTTAGTATGAATTTCTGTTGTTTTTGTCCACAAAGGCTCCAACCATACACAAGAATACCACCAACATGGGCCATTTCCCACATCTCCAGCAAAGCAGAAGGGGCTCAAAGTAAAGAGCCCCCAACCCCATTTTTCCTCCTCCTTATATGCTGCAGCCTATGTTTCTGTTCTTTGGGGCAGTGTTGGGCTTCAGGGTTTAGTGACTCTGGTCTAGACAACAGATTTCCTGATTTTTTGCCAGCAAATGCGGCTGGCACCTTCAAAGGCAAGGTGGTCTGCTATGCAGACCACAGGCAACTGAGCAGGGACTGACTGAGCTCCTGTCTTTGTAGCCAGGTGACCTGACTTCTGATTGGTCTTCAGCTGAGCTGGTTTCCAACTGGTGCAGGCTGGTGAGGGCTGGTTCCTGGTGAAACATCAGGAAATCTGTTGCCTAGACTGTCACTAAACCCTGAAAATCAACACTGCCCAACAGATGCTGGCTGTGAAAGCCTGCACCAGTATATTTTCCTCTTCTTTGTTTTTTTATTGGTAAGGCTGACTGGCTGATTTCCGCCACCCTATACCTGTTGCTTCCCAGGCAGTAGTCTGCAAGCTGCAACAAGAGGAGTGAGAAGATCAGTGCCAGTTTTGCTCTTCAGTGGGAACAGCTTTCAGAGTGATAAGGCTCAGATTTAGATTTTGCCATTTAATTATTGTGACTGATTCATGGGATCACTTATCTGGGGAGCTGTTTCACCCCCGTTATATATGCCCACCCCACTCAGTCCAGCAGAAGGGGCATGTTGCAGACCCACCAGTCAAGGAATTTCGGCTGGCGGGGACTGGGAAGAGGGCCTTTTCTGCTGTGGCCCCTGCCCTGTGGAACAGCTTGCTAGCTGAGGTGCCTCTCTCCTGGCCTTCCAAAAAGGTGTAAAAACATGGCTATGCCGGATGGCCTGGGGTCCTGATGGGGGTTTGCATTGCTGGAACTGGCTCGTGGGATGATTGATACTGTTTCCCCCATCTTCTTGATTTCTATATTGCTTTTATAGATTTGTTATTTGTGTTTTAATTGGGGGGTATTTATATTTTTATTGTTTTTATTGTTGGGGGGTATTTATATTTTTATTGTTTTTATTGTTGGGGGGTATTTATATTTTTATTGTTTTTATTGTCTTGGTTTTTAATTGTAAGCCACCCAGAGTCACCCTCTGGGGAATATGAGCAGCATATAAATTTAATAATAAATTAAAATAAATTTAAAAATCACTTGAATAGTTAAAATCTAGATATATCCATATTACTGTTTGGTTTTAATAATTTTAAAATGAATACCGAGTATTTGTGAAGACTGTGAAAGACTGTTTTTCTTATAGCTACACTTATTCAGCAAATTATAAATGAATCATACCACAACAATCAGAAGTATTAAAGTTAGCATGTTAGGTTCGTTTAATTAGGCCACAAAATCAGATGTGAAATGTTCTGTTACATACAACCTTTTTCTTCTTTTCTAGGGAACAAACCCCCTTTACAGAGGCTCCACAACAACTTTTAAGAACGTAACATACAAGCAAAAGGAAAGGCAACCTGGCAGTACTGCCGATACATTCTACTAATTCAAGATTATGAAAAAAAAAACAGTTCTGGAAATATGAAAAAAGGAAGTTTACTCTGTTTTGGATGGACTTTGTCAAACTACTATGTATGGTAGTATGAAAGTGTTAACATTAGAGCATGTGTGCTTTTAAAAGCTAGAATGCTTTGCAACCATGAATGGAGCTGAGCAGCATTAGAGGAGATTAAAAACAAAGAACCATCCGGCATGCAGTGATCCACCAATTAAGTATAACATGAAAATAATCTCTGGTGCAATTCTGCTGTAATGAGATTTGGGGATTGGTCTGAATGACCTTTCAAGGAACCCCTTTCAGCTGTTCCCTTCTGATCTCAAAGTAATTCAAGATGTTAGGGCAAACCATCTTTTCAATTTCTGCTAAGGAATATGGTTCAGCCAGTTTTGCCAGTCCCAGCTCAGCATTTTACTGAAAGGTTAAGATATACCCCTGTAGCATCTGTGTTTTAAATATCATCCAGAGAAAGAAACATTTCATTTTTAAAAGTAAGAAAACTTGGGAGGAAAAAGTGTTCATGATTCATTAATAAAATATCCAGCAACTAAAGCTGTATTCTTAACCATGGTGCAATCTTAGGAATTCTGTTCAGAAGTCCCATGAAGTTAAATGAGATATTTTCCTATGAAATGTGTAGCCTTCTAGAAGCAGCTGGACTAAAGTTGGCCATACTGACTACAGAAGAATTCAGGGATGGGGGGATATGTTGCTGACTAAGATCCTCTGCATGATATGTATGGCCACCAGATTTTTTCCTTGGTGCCTTTCAGATTCCTCACCCATATGATTTTTGTATTGTGCCCAACCATAGCCCAATGACATCTCTTTTGTGAACAGCTGTTTCCCTTCAGGGCAGCCAGAATGCATACTATTTGCTTTCAAAATTCCAATATATCTAATGGCCCCAAACATTGGGGACCTATGATTAATGGGGCTGCTTTTTTCCAAGTATATAAATATATTTCATACAGTGGGACTTAAACATACTATGCTGGACATATGGTTTTCAATAATGCAAATTTTCTAAGATATTTTTGAGGGTGAGTGAGTGTGTATGTTTTATCCTGAAGAATATTTTTGGTAATGGTGATGGGAGTTTTTACTATGAATGTTCTATGCATATAAAACACTGGAAACGTCTTTGTTGTTTTTATTGAAATAGTTTTGATTGAATAGTTATATAAGGCTGGACCTTATATAAGGCCAAAACGTTATCAGTATAGTATTTGTACTATTACTCATTGCAGTCCCTTGGACATTTTTTTTCTAGTTTGCAAATGAGACACTTTTTTTAAATGGAATGTTCAGTGGTTTGCTTTTTTAATATGTTGATATGTAAACTGAATTGCTTTGTTTTCACATAGATTCTCAGATGTAAAATGGAAGGGTAAAAGAAACAATCAAATATCTTGACTGAGATTTTTACAAACTCTAATATCTACAGACTAGACTACATTTTAACCTTGCATGTTATAGGAACCAGCCTGTGTGATTAAATTATAGTTCAACGTGTTGTATAACACAGGGCTAATTTATTAAACCATGGTTTAGTTCACAACAGTTAAACATCAACTACAACCATTTGGCCACCTTGAAACTGATTTTTAAATCCTCCTCTTCTGGCCAATGTACTGTTTCTATGTAGATGACCCCATTGGTAACCTAAGGTCTAATCTATTTACTTGCTCCCACTTCAGTAGGTCACTATAAATTTCCCAGAGTTGGTCCCTTCCTTACCTTTCTTAGCAGCCCAGAGCTATCTTTCAAATTCACTGACTCAGACATTTTGTGAAATAAAGCAGATGAGTAACAAGGATGAGGAGGAAGAAAGCAGGGTTATACATCAGACTGCCTTTCCTCATGCTACAAGAGGGATATAGTACCCACGGTGTTTTCTGTAACATGACTTATGTGTGCATATGATAAAAATAAAAGTATGTTTAAAAACCTATGACTTTATGAGCTAATTATTCCCCACTTCTGTGAAACAGAATATACCTCTGTGTATATATACCATATCTCTATAGTTCTTTATATATATACAGTACTGTGCAAAAGTTTTAGGCAGGTGTGAAAAAATGCTGTAAGGAATCTCCACCATGCTTCACTGTTGCCTGCAGACACTCATTATTGTACCGCTCTCCAGCCCTTCGGCAAACAAACTGAAAAATGCTGTAAGGAATCTCCACCATGCTTCACTGTTGCCTGCAGACACTCATTATTGTACCGCTCTCCAGCCCTTCGGCAAACAAACTGCCTCCTGCTACAGCCAAATATTTCACATTGTGACTTATCAGTCCAGAGCACCTGCTGCCATTTTTCTGCACCCCAGTTCCTATGTTTTGGTGCATAGTTGAGTCACTTAGCCTTGTTTCCATGTTGGAGGTATGGCTTTTCGGCTGCAATTCTTCCATGAAGACCACTTCTGGCCAGATTTCTCTGGACAACAGACGGGTGTACCTGGGTCCCACTGGTTTCTGCCAGTTCTGTGCTGATGGCACTGCTGGATATCTTCCAATGTTGAAGGGAAGTAAGCATGATGTGTCTTCCATCTGCTGCATTGTTTCCTTGGCCAACCACTGCATCTACAGTCCTCAACATTGCCTGTTTCTTTGTGCTTCTA